CTTATGCCTATTGTACTGCTCCTTCCTCTGACGTGTGGTTACCTGTAGTCATACCCCCCTAAGTAGTGATAACCCTTGGTTAGCAATAAAGTAGGCTCTCTCCTGCTCTTGCTCCCGGGCTCTCTCCACGAGAACCACCAAGTGGGCTGAGGTGAGCATGCTACCATCTCTCATGCTCTCTGTGACTTCACTATAATCTTTACTTATTACCACCGTACAACTGCACCTACCGGACCACTGATGATTTGCTGGGGGCCCTCCTTTCCCCCGCAACTACAGTCAGAATTGAGTCGACAGCACTTAAGAAAGCTGTATGGGGTATGGAGAGTGACGAAACAAAATACTAACATTATAGCTTAGAATCCCAACAACAACAGCAATAAAATGAGGGTTCTGAGGTACTTACAAAGGTAGACAGGAGCCAACCTGGCAAGCCGGGACATTGCATCAGCAGCTTCATTCTGCCCCCAGTCTCGAAGCAGAATGTAAAAAATATTGTTCTTGGATCCTGATCCTAATGTTCCTTTATCCATGCTGCCACTCATCAACTCACTATTCTGGATAGTAACGTCTGGAAAGATAGTAATGATTACACAGTTAAAGAAACAATAGTTGTTACCTGTTGGGCTTTAATGTACAAGACTGGAAGTTTGAAAGCACCCGCCGCTCCAAGGGAGAGTGACAGGGCTTTCTACACCTGTGAACAGCTACAGTCTCATAAACTCACATGAGTCCTTCTACCCTGTCCTACAGGGTCACTATGAGTTGGCATCAACTCAATGGCAGTGAGTGAACATACATTCCCTTACTGAAAATTAAAGCCAATCAAACAGACATTATTTTTTAAGGTTTTTGTTTTGTTTTGTTTGTTTGTTTTAGGGAATAAAGGGAAATCTGGGGATGTTTGCAAATTATGAACTTGCTTTAGTTAAGCAAGAGTACTGTTTGCTTGTAAGACTTCAGGGGAAAATATTGATTTAAGGTTTTAAGATTGTTATTGGGTGCCCTGATTTTATTGACTCACAGTGCACAAAAAGGAAACACTGTGCTCTCCTGATAATCACTGATATAACTAATTGTTATAGCCACTGTGTCGATTTATGTCTTAAAAGGCCTTCCACTTTTGTCCTGAGCCTCTCCTTTTCCAAATCTGATGCCATTCTCTTGGGATTGGTCTGTATGGATTGTGAAAGAGTTGCATGAGCCCCCAATAAAATGATTAAAAAAAGAAATAGTTCATAATATAGAATTTTTTAAAATTAATATATCAATAAAAGCTTCAATTTCAATAAGCAAGATTGTGTCCTCTGCATACATCAAGTTTTTAATGAGTACCAA